GGTATAGAAGATTCTGCCTGATAAGAACTGAGTGGTGTTTTGTCCCTCCAGGCAAACATCCTGAGAAGCTCGGAGGCTCAGCTGAGAGTTTGATCCCTGGTTTTCAGCCTGCACAAGGCGATGCTTTCGCAGCGTCCTCGTTTTCTGCTGGAGCTGGTTAGTATGACAGACACTGAACCATGAGGTTTATCACTTCACAGATAACTAGCAACCCAGCAAGCCTCTAAGTTAGTTTTTCTTTCATTCATGAGTTTTCCAAGCGAAAACTGAGGGACGGAGAAAAATCTAGAATCACTGAGTTAAAAGGACAGGCTCATCTAGCAGTAGTATCTGCACACAGCTGTTGTCTGTGTCTGGTTCTGAAGTTGAGGGACAATGCAGGCAAGCCTCAGGGAGCTGAGTTTCCATTCCAGACTACTGCAGCCAAGCAAATAGCCCAATAAAAGCACGTCCTACCGGCATTTTGGTTTTTCAGTGCATATAAAGGGTATGCTCACGTTAAACTGTAGTCTATTACGTTGGCGATGTGAGAATTACCAAAATGTGACACAGAGGTATAAAGTGAGCGTATGCTGTCCGGAAAATGGTGCTGATAGACTTGGTCCACACAGGCTGGCCACAAATCTTTAATTTATTCAGAACACTCAACTCCGTATCAGCTCAGCTCAATAAGGAAGGCACGGTAAGCCACTGTATGCCTGTAGCTTCCTAACAGTAAATCCAGGCCGCCTCTACCCCAGCGACCTTGTTCACTCTGTTCATCTCTCGTGGCTGTTTAGGTTCTTGGAATGACTTGAATACATTTAAGAATTAGATGGCTTGTACTGTCTGAAACTCTACTAAACTGTGTGAGTGTGCATAGGTGTTGGTGCATACACACTGATTTTGAGAGCAAGTCTGCTTCCGTGAATACCGACGACATTGGGAACCTTGTGTGGGGTGCTACAAGTGGGGTCCACTCGCTGGCAGTCCGTTGCCTTGGTTTTTGTCTGATGAGGACTGAGCTGGTTCCCAGTGTTTCCTCATACACACATTCCTCATACACGCAAAACCTCTGTTACATCCTTTGCCGTTTCTTTAAGATCACTTCTAGGCGATGATTTGCCAAATGAAAAAGGCGTATCTTTTAAGGCTTTCAATACTTACTTCCCCGTTACATTCCGAGAGTCCTGTACAGACTCTGTTTCCACCAACAGTGAATGAGAGCACATTCCCCTCCTGCTTTCCCACGGACGGGGCCTGATGTTCCTCTGCTGACCACTGTTCGTTCCTGCAGGAGTTGCATTGTTCACGAGCTCTGCCGTTTTTGCTCTTCCATACTGTGTAAGAGTGCTGCATCGATCACATCTCATAAGCATTGCCGGTTGAGTTGGTGCTACACGGCTACTACCTCCTCTGCCCCTCACTGCCCCTCGGCCCCACCTTTGAAATGGGTGTGTCATCCCCACTTTTGAGCTAGCCAAGGCACAGCCTCGTCCTGTGTCCAGGATCAGGTAGCTAGTGAGTGGCCAAGCTGGGCCACGGGACAGCCTCTGACTCCAGGTCCTTCCCCACGAATTGGGGCAAATTTCACAATTGTTTTCCTAGCACATCAGCTGTCCTTTAAACTTCTCACAGAGTTAGACACACCAATCTTTGGTGCTTTCTGTGCATCAATTGTAATTGTATGCATTCGGACTTTGTTTTCTTCATGACATTAGCTAGAGGTTTACTCTTACTATCGTTTCCAGATAGTCCTTGGAGTTATTTTTAATTTATTTATAAACTATGCCTTTTCGTCTTTTATCTTTTCAAATTACATTTCCCTATCTTAATTTAGATATAGATTTAAATTATATTTCAATTATGTACGTACATTTAATATGTATTGTAATAAATATTTAAATTAAAATAAATTTAATTACATTTCCCTATTCCCATGTTGCTTTGTTTATATCAAGAACATTTAGTAATTGCGTAATTTTTTTTTAACTGATACAGATATTTAAGGTTTTCTCTTAGTAAATCAGTCATGTTCAATTTAGGAATGAGGGGGAGGGAAGAGGCTGATTAAAATATCCCGGAAGGCATCTTCGCACACAGATGTTCTAATGTCATCTTTTCTCCTCCGCCCTCCAATTGCAACCACCTCGCCCGATCATTTAGGATTATTGTTATGAAAGCAAGCACCCTGGTGGCATTAGGGGTTACACACTGGGCTGCTAACCACATAGTCAGCAGTTCAAAACCCCAAGTTGCTCCTCAGGGGAAAGATGAGACTGTAAAGGTTTACAGTCTCAGAAACTGACGGGTCATTCTACCCTATCCTACGCAGGGGTCTTCAAGCTCTTTAAACAGGGGGCCAGTTCACTGTCCCTCAGACCCGTTGGAGGCCCGGACTATAGTTTAAAAAAAATACTATGAACAAATTCCTACGCACACTGCACATATCTTATTTTGAAGTAAAAAACAAAACGGGGCGAAAACACCCGACAGACCGGATAAATGTCCTTGGCGGGCCGCATGTGGCCCGTAGACCGCAGTTTGAGGACCCCTGCGTCTAGGGTCACTCCGAGTCAGAGTTGACTCAACGGCAGTAGGTTTTGTTTTTGTTTTTGAGTTTATGAGAGCATAATGGGTGTTTCCTTAGCATGAAAAAAAACCTGATTTCTGGTGCTTTAACTGTATCCCAGACGTATTCCTATGCTGTTATTATTTTGGAATGGACATTGGAACTATTTGCAAGTCGTACTGTTAAGTAGTAAGTAGTTAATACAAACTTTTTAATGTTTTTCATTTTAGAGCTTTGTCGTCTGATCTGTATAATTTTTAAATTTGGCATTTGCTCAGGTCTTTTAATGCTCCAAGAATCAGTATATGATGCTTGAAATGATACCATTTCAATCCTCTCTTCTTATGTAGAAGGTGGCTTGTGCCTAACTGATCTATTACAATCTGAGCATGATGAATGAGACCTGCTGTCCCTCTGGGGTTTCCGTCCTTTTCTTCCCCCACTCTCACGTCTCTGAAAACTATTTTCTGTTGCGACCCAATGGTATTTAGAACATGTAATCCTTTGTAGAACTGTATTCTCTACTAGTATAACTCTTTATCTTTCTTCCCTTTAATGCTTTTTACTTGCGTTTTGCCTTGGTTAATATTGCTTTTATGTACTAGTTTCTACCCATTCTTTTCTATTAATTATCTATACACTCTAGATTTGGCGTAGTAGCTAAGTTTTGACTCACTCTAAAAAAAATCGTGGTGTTTATTTGTTTGTTTGTTTTTGTTTTTAAAGTACAGGGCAGAGTCTGACCTCCTGATTTCACAATGGGAAGGAGAATCAAACTCAGCCATGGCAGATTCTTGTGAGGCTGAGGTCAAACATGCACCTACCCTCCAACCTTCTTTATCAATTATGATTTTCAGTTGCCCCTCCCAAGGCACTCTGCTTCTCTGATCGGTCCAAAAATCCCTTGCAGTGGTCAGTGGCAATACTCACAAGTACGGGGCTGATGAGGGAAATGACCAGGTTACAGATCAGGATCAGAAATACTCAGGATGGTACCTTGGTCAGGATGTCCTCTTCCCAGCCTATTAGCGGACAGGCCTCTCTCTGGCCCTCAACCTCACAGGCATGCAGCCCCTTCGCCTCTGCCCTGCTCTGACAGTGTCTTCGAAGCGCCCGAAGGTGCTCATTGGTGGCTCCCCCAATTAAGTGTCTGGAGGCATCCTACTCCAGAAGTGAGCCTCTTGTTTGAAGGCACTCAGCTTTACTTGATCCCTAGGCCAGGAAGCTCACCATTCTGTCTCTCATTGTGGCTCTCGGTTCTGTTCCTACCACTGCTTTAGCATCACAGCTCTGTCTTCTGGATCAAGAAGAGACAACACCCAGGTATCTCAAGAGTCCACAGGACACACTCTCACCTCCTGGCTCTTTCCTCCTTTACCCTGCTTCTGAGGTGGCTCATTTTAAACCTAATGGGATGGCAAATTTGATGAATCCCCTTGTTAGAGTTCCAAGACTTTACAGTCACAATTCACCTTGTTTACAGTACTCAAGTAATGCTATCAGCATCTTCTACTGTTCTTACCCAGGCCCATCAGGAAAGGGGGGGACACCCCATGCACATGGCCTACCCAGGAGTTTGCTGAGAGGTACAGACTGTGGCTTTGGAAGAGTTAGTCACTACACCAGTATTTGTCACTTCACTAATGATCTTTTATCCCCTCATTTGTTATCCTTCATATTTTGGAATGGATTTGTTCTTTTGATCTTTTATACAACCTCTATAACTTTTTGTGCATACTTTAAACATTTCTCTAAGTTGCAGCATCCATAACAAAACGTTTTACATCCATTCATCTCTGTATCCGAGGAAGAAGTGAACGTGCTTCTCTTCCTTCTGCATCCTGATCTTTTCCCAATAGGATGCAGCATCGTAGAAAATGGAATTTTTCCATGAATTTTTTGGCACTCCCTCAATATTTTCTTGGATTTTTGGACTGAATTTCTTATGAAATTCTCACGTATCATTTTTTTTCATGTATCCTTATAAATTACTTTTATACTCATATAATTACTGGTTAGATTTAATTTGGGGTTAATTTATTTCAATACATCCCAGTGTTTATCATTTATGATTTTAAAGATGGATTTCTGATTGGACGAGTGTACCTCTTTTTATAAACATTTTTCAGGATATATGTAGTTCATATACTTTTAAACCTTTGCATTCCTGAAAGTGTGCTTTTGTTATTCTCAGATAAGACACAACTTTAAATATTCTTAGGTTATAATTTATTCCCCATAAATTCTTTTTTTTTTTAATCGTTTTATTAGAGGCTCATACAACTCTTATCACAATCCATACATACATCAATTGTGTAAGGCACATTTGTACATTCATTGCCAATTCCTCATAAATTCTAATAAGTTCCCTTTGTGTTGAATGTATGCCTGTTGATTATTCTTTAGTAAGTAGCTTTTTTCCCCTACCTAAATATTTAAACTTTTCAACACGACATCACACAAAACACAGACTCGCTGCCATCAAATCAATTCCAATTTACAGTGGCCTTACAGGACAGAGTAGAACTCCCCTGTGGCTTTCCACGATGTAAATCCTTACAAGAGTAGAAGGCCTCATTTCTGCATATATGCTTGTATCAAAACTGAGTGATACTATGTGCTGCATTTTGTAGTTTGCTTTTTTCTTTTAATAGTTTTTTCCATCTCATTTAACGGTTCTCTGAGACTTCAGAGCAGTGATTTTATCCTTCTTTTCTTCCCCTAGAGATCTTGAGTTAAAAACTAACTTTAATAATCTTCTTGAAATGGTAACATGATAGAGACTGGAGCAGATTGATGGTTCTCAAGAGAGACGGTGGTCAGGAGTAGGGGGAGACTGCAAAGGGGAAGATTGAGGGATGGATTTTTATGCTAAAGGAACCGTTCTTTATCTTGATTTGGGGGTGGTTACTTTATTCATATATGTTTGTGTAGCACGACACGCACGTACACAGAGGAGTGGATGGGAAACTGGTGAGAACTGGGTAAGATGTAAACCA